TCTACAAATATTCAGTGTGTGCCCCTATGGGGATACAACACACATCCAGACAATAAACAAGCTCATTCCATACATTTTGTAACATAGTTATTCAGATGCTTGTCTTGTTAACTGACCAGATGTTCGGAATGTCACAAAAAACTGTGTGCAAGATTTTGCATCAACAGTTGCATTTAAAACCGTACCATGTGTAGCTCCTGCAACAATTAAAGCCGGAGGATTATGCCTGTTAATTAGATTTTTGCATCAACATGCAGAAAGCATTTAAGGATGAAGATTTTGCCACCAAAATGATATTCAGCAATGGAGCAACGTTCCACTTATCTAGGAAACTTGGTGAAAGAGTGAAAAAAACTTGGTCAGTTTGTGGTTCTTTTCATGTATGTACAAATAATACTTTTGAAAATATAACCTTTTCAAAATGAATGAATCATTTATGCTAGCTCTGTACATTTCTAAATTTTTCAAACCAAAACATCAAACATCTCGAAATTGCAAATCAGTATTGCAGAAAAGGAGAACATCATCATTTTTGTACATCACCAAATATGAAAATATTTTTTAAGTTTGGGGACTTTCTCATTACAGTAATGATTTCATTTTACTTACATTAAAGCACCAGAAAACGACTTTGGTAATCATGTATGTGATTTATTGGTTTTAGTTGGTTATTTATTATTATAGAGGACGGCACTAAAATTGTTTATTGTTTTGTTCATTTCTTTTTCTCACCGTTTTAACACATGACTGAATTTTAAATTAGCATTTTAGTTGTGCCACCTAAATAACTAACTAAAAGTAATAGAATGCACACTACATGATTACCAGATCCTCTTTACCTACTAGCTGAGTATAAAGATTGGAATAAAAAATTTTTTACCCATCAAATATGAAACAGAAAATTTATTATTTGAACTTCAGAATGGTGGTTAAAAAAAGCCTTCATTAATTTACATGCGAAACTTTACATTGCAAAAAAGTTAAACATTACCTAGATATTCAAAAATCGCTCAGGCTCTTGTTTCATTGCAGAAGTCAATGCATAATAACCATATTAATCTTTTTCTTACCATATTTAATTTTGTTTCGTTCATATCATACATTAATTTGTAATATGATCTTCTTAATAACTTCATCATAAGTTAAATCCTTAAAATATTAAGTTTGCTCTTTTTAATTTTCAAAATGCTTCTTGCTTCTGCACACTTTGAAAACAAGATTAAAGAATGACAATGTTAACGGCATTCTTTTACATTTTGCAATTAGTTTAACAGAATGCCAACAAGCCAAAAACATAAAAGCAATTTTTCCAATTTTAGCAATTTGTAAGATTTGAGATATATGTGTCTATATATATATATATATATTTTTTTTAAACACAATTTTCTTGCTAATTTCTGAAAAGTACACACTAGGCTTTTGTAAATGTACTGTCTTAACAGCCTGCACAATTAATTCTTTACAGTTTAGGCAAAATCAGCATGGCCAGCATGGCATTCTTCCCTTCTTAAATTATATTACTAGATCTAATCACATGCATGAGTAGTTCTCAAGGCCTTGATTCTGGAAATGAATTCTTAAAATTAACAGATTAACTATACCAGTTAATCTAAATTATAATTTGGAAATTGTTGCATTTTCTAATGAATTCTAGGTATCTCTTTGTTGCTTAAAAAACGGCTTTATTAAATGCCTTGAATACACCAATCAGTTAATAAACTATTTAACCAAAAATAATTTACTAACCAGGCCTATTCAGTGAAGTTTCAAATTTCACTATATTCTTATTAATGCTATAAAATATAAGGAATGAATATGCACTCTTTTCTCCCAACTCAACACAGACTCATAATATATATTACTATTTTTAACTGTAAACTGAAAGACATAAGTTTCAACCAAATATTATCATTACTTCTTTTAATGCCAGAATTTATCTGTGGGCAATAATATTATAGTACCATGCATTTACCATACATGTGACTTGAAAAACTATTGCATAAAACAAGAATTTTAACACTGCCTTCCACATGGTGTAGTTCCCAGAATGCTGCCATTCAATATGGCAAAATATCTTTATCAAATTATAATTACAAGACAATAAGAAATTTAAAAGCGATGAATATCCTGCTTAGTAACATTTTTGTTTTACTTTTTTAGTAATACACTTTATTGGTATAATTTAAATTACATTTAGCATGCATTCTATCTAATTAATAAGCTTTATAAACATTTTATTTGCAGCATCAAGGTATTTCTAGAGCCATATATTTCATGAGTGATGTAGTATACACAAATGCAAGTTTTTAAAAATTTTTATCTAATTTATATATACTGCATTATAAAATTTATGGAAATTTATAGCACTTATTTTCCTACATTTAGAATTCTACAATAAATAAAGAAGGGGGAGAAGAATTACTCACTAAGAATCCATCTCAAAATTAAGTACTTCAAAAAAAAATATATATATTTAAACTAAAACATCACAAAGAAGGCAAAAGATGAAAACAAAGAGATGCCTTTACATTTTATTATTTTAAGCAAACTAACACATAAAAATAATTGGTAATGTTGGCATCCTCAAAACTATATGTTATAATTTAATTTTAAAATTTTTATGTAACATGCTCTGTTTGATAAGGAGATCTTAATTTAATGCTTCTGATAAGATTTACCAAACAGCAGCAGTTAGGAATACTTTTTCACAATGATATATTCTTTACTAGCTAATTTTTGCAAATGTGTTTTAATATAAGCTTATTTATGCATTTCTTGGATACCTACAATATATTTATTTCTGTTATTTAAAAAACAAATACTGAATAAAATCCCAATTAACTGAGGTAAACTAATGATGATAATCCAAATTTACCATTAATTTCAACAACAATTAGAGGAATAATTTGCATAACACAATGCACAACACAGGAAAGAGGAATAACGCACATTATAATTAGTAGAAAAATTACTTGTATTTTATACAGCAGTTTGATTTTGAGAGTAAGCTCATTTGGTTATGTAAATTATATTCGCATTCAAAATAAGAACCTACTTAGACTACTGAATAGAAAGGTGAATATTTTTTATCTATTATTCTATTTTGATAGGAATAAATAGGGAACAGAAGATTAATGGCTATATACCTAAATTATTTTTATGATTTTGCATGTAGTTTTTAATAGATGACTTAACTATGCATTTATATGGGTGCTTTTCTTTACGGGTTCATGCAATTTGGAGTGATTGATGGCAACACTTGATGAAGAATAAAAATACAATTTATTAGCCAGTATTACTCAAGACAGCTCCAAAATCACATTTACAGTCATAAAAAAACTGCTGTAAACACGCTGAAACAATCAGCAACACAGCTATCAGACTATAACGGTGAATATTTTTGTCACCATTATAGCCTGATTACAGCTTCACAGCAAAGCACCAGCTCCTGACTCTGTTCAGTCGTTCTTGAAACTCTACATACTCTCGAGATTCCAGCCTTCAGAATGGTGAAGAAAGCTTCACAGCAAAGCACCACAGTACAGCTCCTGACTCAGTTCAGTTGTTCTCTTGAGACTCTCCATGTTATAATTCGTGATATACTCGATGACACACTCAATAGATTCGACGATGCACTTGCTAGACTCGCAATACTTCGACGACCAACTCAATACTAGACTGATGATCAGCTCATTTGATAAGGCATTGACTGACTGACTCCACGTGCAAACAGGGTTTATATAGCTTTTGGGCTGCCTTTAAGAACATTCTGGTCCAAACTGGGAAGAATTTTCTCTAGAAGGTTCTCCTCCATCTATAGCATATTACCAATTTTGTTGCCAAATAGGCGATTTCTCCCCAAATATGGCAACCCTGCCTTTCCTTGCATTTTCTGGCAACCCTAACTTGCTTTGCAGGGAAGCTATCCAGATTATGTAAAATTTGTTGGATGAAAACATTTCCAGCGGCATCATCCCATACATTTTTTGATTTCTCACAGAAATTTTATTTTATTCTGGTATACTGTTACAGAAAATTCCTTATCGCTTCTGCAATACACAAACTTCAGTTAGTTAATCGAGTTTAATTGCAAGTTTACTGTATGTCTGTGATTAGGAAGAAAGTAGTTAAACTGTTCACTTTTTCTCCTTTCCAGTCAACGAAAAATAGAAATGAAGATAGCAGTTTTAAGGCCCTTTTAAATAAATTTAAATATAAAATTATATCTTGTTCAAGATTTCTGTGATAAAACCACTTCCACACTTCTAAAATCAGTTGCTTGATTTTTAACCCATTTATGCCTTGCGCCATTTAAATTTGAGGCACTAAAAATTGCCTCTCATCTTTTTGTTAATAGGTATTTCTAAGCATTAAATAATACTTTTATTTCATTTTTACTTGAAGTTTTATTTGAAATTATTGGTGAATTTTTGGTATTCTTACAACAGGTGACTATCATCTATCTGGTGACACACTGTCATGAACCATGATAAAATCCAAAGAAAGTAATACTGTCCTGCTAAATAAAATATAAAGTTATATCTTGTGTATCTTGTTGTATAAACATGACCTCACAGACATTCTATCCCCTAAGTGTTGGCACCATGGCAGGATCATAAAAACTCGGCTGATGATTTGCTGGCAGATTGGTGTATTATCTGATTCATACTCATATAGCTGAAGTTCTACAAATTTACCCAAAGTTTAGAATTGCCCAGTATATTGATAATAAAGTAAATTTTTATATTATAATAAAAATAATGCATTGTGTTACATATATTCTATTTTTCTATCAAACATAACTAATACTTTTATTAATGTACTATTTTGAACTTAAAAGTTTTATACGCTTCATATTAATAACATGAAACGTAAATACACATCACTTAATGAACTACTTTTCATTTTGAATTTTAAAGATTTAGAAGAAAACATTTTGATTTTAAAATTACTCATGAAAAAATGTACTTGTGTACATAAGACATTCAAGTCATGCTTACTTCGAACTATTTGCTCCTTTCAGGAAATCTCTCTCATCTATGCACTTTTCTTCTGTAAACAAAATTCATATTATTATATCAAAAGAAACGTCTAAAAAAAGATATTTATAATTCCATTCCTTTTAAAGGAAGAAGAAATACAAAAATATTAATTTAATAAATTTAAATTGAAAGAATTAAAAATACATAATTTTACAGAAATATACCTTCACTGATTAAAATATGGTAATCAATATAATTAACAGACATAATCAAAATATGTTTAATATCTCAAAGCATGATTAACTGCAATTGCCATAATATGTAAAACTCAGGATTACACTGTTATTCTTCATATATATATAATTTTCCATGTCTACAGAAAAGACCTCTCTGTTAGGAAATTAATGAAAGGAAAAATAAAAATTCAGTAAGGATATTAAGATCATTACATGAAGCTTAATTGTAATCTTTGGTAAATACAACGGTGAGCATGCAAACATAATAAAAACAGTAAATGCATGTGAGAAGACAGTAGTTATAAATTTTATGAAAATATTCATAAACAGATCTCAGGGTACAAAAAGTTAACTTAATTGAGCTCACATACATGCATATAGTGCTATGAGATATTCTTCAAGAATAACCAAAATGGAGTATTAAAATTCATTCAATATTACTGAAATGCACTGCTGAAAAATTTCACTCATATGGAAAAAGCCTGCTGCCTCACAGAATGACATTATTTAAGTCTGTGATTAATGAAAACAGTGCACAAAGATGATTCAGAAGTCATTTTAATTCATTTCATGCATGCTCAATGAAGTTGGAATCCACTGACCAACAGAGAAGCAATGTTTAATGAAGAGAATTTGAAGTCACCTGAAGTACAAACCAATGTTGTACATTGCCATCTAAAAATGTAAATTACAGTTGAGTTTTTATAAAATAAATAACATTGCTTAGAACATCCCTCATCTATACTGGATAAAACCTTGAATATGCAGGACCTATTTGGGCACACTCTTCTGAGACTGCATTGGGGAAACTTGACAAGATACAGACAAGAGCAGCTAAAATAATATCTGGAGCTGTTTCATCTATCAGCAATATTAAGGCAGAACAGGAGTGCAGACTTCGAACCCTTTTATAGAGAAGGAAATATCTCACACTCAAGTTTACAAACAAGGCCAGGAGCTGAGACATGGAGAACATATCAAGAAGGACTTTTGGAAACTGGAACAACAGCTCAAGACTTAAGAGGTCATCTACTCTGAAATATGACAATGAGATCAGAGAAAATATTGCCCTCAAACATGATCCCTACACTGTCCTTCTGGAGCCTAACCTGCCCTTTTACACTCCCATTAATATCAAAATAAATCTCAATCTGGTGGAATATTGTACAAAAAATGAAACTGAAGTTATTATCGAGGCTTGGTACTCGAAAAATTGAATCCTTTATGGTAGCTGATTTGGTAAAAATTTACACAGATGGTTTATCGGATGATAATATCCAACAGGGTGGACCCAGTCTTCACATCAACTCTACCAAATAAGGCAACTATACTCCAAAGCTATGGAGCAGGCAACATCACTTCCAACTTCACATGTGAATTAAGAGCAATCCAGGACGCCCTGAGAATTTACATCGACTTAAATGATAATGGCAAAGGACTTGTAATTTACTTTGGCACTAAGGCTTCCCTAGAGGCAATACTGCAAGGACATTCAAGATTTACCCAGGATGTACACATGATTGTGTTGCAGTGGGTGTCAAATCAGGAGGCAGACTTCGCAGCACTGCGGAAAAAGGGATTCAAAAATTGGTTGCGTGATATGACAAATGCCTTAATACTGGGATAAAATATGCAAAAAGTGAATTGAGGTAGATATAGCTTATTAAGGCCTTCATAAACAAAACTGATGACAAAATTCTACTTGTTTCTTTATTTCTAAACAGTACTTACTTTAAAAACATGCCAATATTGCCCATGTAGCAAAGGAATTATAATATTATTCACAGTATAGACTTCTAAGGAATTTTATCACTAAATATAGGGTGTTTCATACTGAATGGATAAAGAAAGCACACCTGTGAATGCTGTAATTACTTTATTTCAATAAACCAAATTTGCAATGAAATTATATTTATCCAAGTTTCATACATACTCTATGTGTGCCCCTTTCATGACACAGCAAATACTCATGCAGTATTCCAGTTCCTGCCACACTTGTAAAGGGTTAGATCTGGGGTTTTTGGTCGCCAACAAAGAAACAGCATATCATTTGACCCAGCATGGTCAAACCAGTAATAGGGTAGAATATCCTTCAAGTACTGGTGTTTTTATGCCAGCGTGGTGAAGCATCACTCCCTGCAATTGAGGGAACAACAAATCTAATATCATATCTTGATAAATGCAACTTTACTTAACTTTCCGTGCAGAAAAAAGGACCAAAAACACAACTGTTGGAAATGGCACAAAAAACATTCATTTCTGGAAACTCACGCTCATGTTCCATTACGTCATATGGATTTTTTGTGCCCAAAATTTGTAAAGTATGGTGATTAACTTTGCCAGAAACATGAAAAGTGGCTTCATCAGTAAACAAAAGTCTGTTCGCGAAACCGTCTATTTCCAGCTTATCTTGCAAATAAATTCTCACAGAAAGCTTTTTGCAAGAGTTTGTTAGAAGCTTTTAATGCTTCCACCATCTGAAAGGTGTATGGCCGGAATTACAGACTTTACTGTAAGAAAAGCCATACCGTGACATGAGGCACACTGAGTTCAAAACTCGTGCAATGCATTGATTTTGTGGAAATTTTTTAAAAAGGTTCACAAATTTTTTTCAACTACTTCAGTTTTGGATGCTATTCGTCCTAGGATAGTTTTCTTACACAGGCAGCCCATGTAATGAAACTGCTTCACCCAACGTTTGGCATTCTGATTATGCAGTGGTTCTTTGACGAATTTCATGAGAAAATTTTTTTGAACAATGATAAACTATGATGTTTTGGCCTGCTCCAAAACACGCTACTCTTTCTCCTGTATTTTCCTGTGTTTTCTCCTGTGCCTGCTTCTAGCAGAGATTTCATAACTGGACGATTTTTCATTGTTATCAGATAAAACTTGCACAATTGTAGTTTCAGAAATAATTGTTTCAAATTTATAAATCAATTACATATTTTGTATTATGCTATTATTTTTACCCCCATTCAATATGAAACACTCTGTATTTTAGATAACTTTATATATTATTACAGAAATAATTTTACTTTCCAAATACAATGCAATATTCAGCTCATCTTTTTACATAAGTAATTGAAATATTAAAATTAATGCCCATTTACAAATTAGTGATGTTATTTTATGTAAATACCGAGTTATGTTTTATTAAAAAAACACTTACTTCTCATAACCTTCCTACTCAGTCTGAAAAAAATTAATATCTCTTATAAAGAACAAAAGAAAAAATATTTTGATTATAAATTAGCAGTTAAATCAGTAATTCACTTCTGAAGAATCACGAGTTTTAAATTACAACATATTAAAGCAGCACCAATCTAAATGATCTGAAATAACACAGGAACAGAGTAAAATTTAGTCTTCTTAAAAAGTTAACACTGCACACTTTTATGATGATGCTAGTCATGATCATCGGATACTACAGTACAAAGTTTTTAATCCGGAAGTCCATAATCCAGAATGATCTATAATCCAGACCTCAAAGCTACAAACTTTCTGCGCATGCGTATAATGCATTTACGCATGTGCATAATACGTTTACGCATGAGCGTTTAATGTATAACGGATAGTATAAGCTAGGTTAAAATTATCTAATTATCTATTTCAGTTAATGTTGCAGACTACGCTGTTTCTTAAACTTCTAATTGGATCTGGCTTATTATTTTTTGCAGACTGTTAGAGCAATTTTATAAAAAGTAAGCTTGAACTTTCGATTATGTCAAAAAGAGTTTCCAATTCTGGAGCTGCCAAAGGATCTAAAAAGCAAAACTATGTTTCGATGTCCATCAAACAAAAAGTGGAATTGCTGCAAAAAATGGATAAAGGCATGAAGAAAGTGACAGAGAGGATAGTGAAAATGAAAAAATTTCGATTGACAAGTTAGTCGGTATTCTCAGCACAGCAATTACAAGACTTGAACAGTGGAACTTTGTAACTGAACAAGAAGTTATGCCTGTTTATAGAATTAAAGAGAAAGTATCAGCACATAAAACGAAGCAACTTAAACAACTTGCATTGAAAGAAATGTTTAATAAAGTAAACAAATAAATATTAAGCTCTTCTTTTTTTTTTTTTTTTTTTTTTTTTTTTTTTTTTTTTGGTAAATTTTGATATCCTTTAGATCATAATTGTTCTTTATTTCATAAATTATGGTTTCATATTTTTAATTGTATAATTTCTGCATGCCATCTTACCAGATTTAAATTGATGATCTATAATCCGGAAAAACCCCTAATCTGGAATCGCCGAAGTCCCGATGAGTCCGAATTAAAGACTTTGTACTGTAGTCACAAGTGCAGTATTTTTTTTTTAATTAAAAATTGGATTTCACTTTCAATATTATTCAGATTTATATGTTACATATAATCATTATTGAGAACAGTTTTTACATAAGTTATTTTTATATTTGTGAAGAGAAAAACAAAATTTTTTGATAGTGAAAATTACTCTCTTCAAATAATAGATTTGATATTTAGCTAGATTCCACAAGATTTCTGTATAGTACTAAGAGATCTGCAACAAAGTAGCATCATTTGAGATCCACAATTCAGAAAAAAAAGCTAACCTGCTGGTAAATGAATCCAATGCCAAGAATCCTCATGATTAGCACGCGACTTAATAAAACACTTGGCATTGAAATATTAACCTTAATTATAAAAGGTTTTAATTTATACCAGCAAAACATGGCATCACAACTGCTGTCAGGCAGTATGGTTGATAATCGAATAATGATAAAGAATGAGGTTATATGGAAAATGGGAAAGCTGTGTGAATGATTTTCTAAAGAAAGTTGTTTCACACATATAGAGAAAGGTGACAGGATTTC